TTCTGTCTATTAGGTGCTCATCGACCTGCCTGCCTCCTCCGGACAACTCTCCTGTTTGTCGTTTGGAAAGATCCATGGGGCGCCTTCACTTTCTCTCTGAGAGCTTTGCTGTTGTTGTTCTTGTTGTCGTGTGCCTTCAAGTCGTTTCCAACTTACAGAGACTCTAAGGTGACCCTATCGTGGGGCTTTCTTGACAAGTTTCTTCAGATGAGGGTTTGCCGTGGCCACCCTCTGAGGCTGAGAGAGTGTGAATTACCCAAGGTCACCCAGTGGGTTTACGTGGCCGATCCAGGATTCGAACCCTGGTCTCCAGACTCCAAGGCTCGAACTACTATGCCACACTGGCTCTCTAAGAGCTTTATGGAGTAATATTGCTGCGATGTTGGTTTTGTGTTTTTTTGTGGGTTTTTTCGGGCTGTGTGGCCATGTTCTGAAAGAGTTTCTTTCTGACGTTTTCAGAACATGGCCACACAGCCCAAAAAAACCCACAAAAAACTATGGATGCCGGCCATGAAAGCCTACGACTTCACGTTGGTTTTGTGTGTGTGTGTGTGTGTGTTTTTTCCTTTTTGAAAACGGGGTTCTTCCGTTTGTTGTTCCTGAGCTTTGCAGCTCATCCCAAAACATCATCAAATGCAAAAGGAGTTCTACTGCAAATGCAAACAAGATAGAAAGGAGCCCACCCCACCCTGCCCCTCCTCACTCCATCCTAATACTGTGTACACTTTTGTTCCTCTATTTCTCCCAACTAATTCCCCAGGCTAAGTCAAACAGAGAGTTCCAAGAGCATACATTCTTTTGCATAAGTAGTTTTCACCCTAATTTTAATTTTCCTCTGCACAGTATACTGGTGTATTTGTTGTTCTTCACTGCCCTCAAATCAGCTTCAACTTATGGGAACCCTATAAACAAGAGGCCTCCATGTCACCCTGTCATGAACAGCCCTGCTCAGGTCTTGCAGACTCAGAGCCATGGATTCTTTAAGGACCTTATCACACAGGGGTCTAAAGCACTCACATCCCCGTGCGATCGCGCTTCCTTACCCCGGCTGATCACACGACGTCGCAGGGAAACCCTGCCCATCCCCGTCGCATCCCTGTGCGATCGCACTTCCTGTCGCCGGCTGATCACACGACGTCGCAGGTAACCCGCTCGCATCCCCGTCCCAATGCAGCATGATGCTGCATCATCCAGGCATCATCCCCATTCTTTTGAATGCCTGGTCAAAATGGGAATTACATTTCCCGCGACCTGAATGATGCTGGGATGATGCTGCTTTCTGGGTAAGGAAGCGCGAAGGGACAGGGATGCGACTGCTTCAGCCCCCATGTGGTAAGGTCCTAAGATTTTGTTTTTGCGTGCCTTCAAGTCATTTCCAATTTATGGCAGCCCTAAGGTGGCCCTACCATAGGGTTTTCTTGGCAAGATTTATTCAGAGGACGTTTTGCCATTGCCTTCCCCTGGGTCTGAGATTATGTGACTTGACTGGCTGAGCTGGGAATCAAACCCTAGTCTTCAGAGTCATAGTCCTAACATTCAAACCACTACGCCAGGGGTAGGCAACCTAAGGCCTGGGGGCCGCTGCCGCCCACCATGATGATATTGATTATTGTTGTTATTACTTGTTCTTGGGGTTTTCTTGGCAAAATCTCCACAGGGGTTTTGCCATGGCTTTTCTGGGCCTGAGAGAGTGTGCATGCATATTTTTTTAAAATTTTTAAAAACATTTTTATTTTTATTTTTTATTTTTTTATTTATTTTTGGTGCTTCAGCCCCCCAATTGTCTGAGGGACAGCAACCTGGCCCCTGGCTCAAAAAGGTTTCCTACCCCTGCACTACGCCATGCTAGAATGCCATCTTTCTTTTTTCCTACAGCCTCCTACTTTGCCAAACATTATTGTCTTTTTCTAGTGAGTCATGCTTTCTTCTTGGATATATTGACCACTGTGCCCCTCAGGACATCTTGAGTACAATACAGTCACAAAAATCATGGGAGCAGAGGTTACAATTCTGAGACTTATGCGTTCATAATTCTTGACAGTTTGCTCCTGCAGTTTAGCCTCTTCCCCAGTTATTGACCATCAAATTGGGTCTTCCAGAACCTACCTGCCTTAATCCCATTCTGTTTTTCTGACAGCCCATTATTTCTGAGTTGGGCCTCTTTGCCTAATAATTTCTTCTTGCTAACCATAATAGCTGCCTCCTGGAACAAGTAAAAAAAAAGGAATCTTCATAATGTCTCTCCATGACTTTGTGATCCAAGTCCCTTCAAGCATCTCATTCAAGCATCAATTCTAAAGATTTAAAAGAGGATTTGAGAGCAGTCCTCTGCTCAACAACAGAGAAGCCTCAGATAATGAATCATCAGAATTAGGGTACCTTAATGGAAAGAAAAAAGATGCATGCATTTTTGAAAAGCTGAACTCTCTACACAGCAGCATGAGAGTAAGCCCCACTTCTGAATGTGCATGAACTGAACAGGGTTGTTGGGAAGCTCTGGATTAGAGCAACAAAGATTGTGAAAGAGGAAGTTCAGGAAACGGCTGGACCAAATGGTTAGGCAAGGAAATGGTTGTGTGGCTGGAAAGTAGCTTGTGTGTGTCAGAGGAGATTATTTTTAAAAGTGTTCCAAGGTAGATGGTATAGTTTGTCCTTGTTTCCACTGAAACGAAGACAAGAACCAATGGTTGTCTGGATCATCTGCACATTTACTGGCATGCAGGTCCTTTTCCAAGTTCATAGGATTTTAAGTGGAATTAACCACACAGCTATCAGCCAGTCATCTAGACTTTGAAGGAATGGATTTCAGATAAAAGTTGATCTAGTGCTTTCCTTTTATATACAATGCATGGGAGTAGAGTTGCTTTGTCCTTTATGATGCAGGTGTGTTGTCATTAATGAGACATGATTGCTGGCATTAGTGCAATATGTTAATTAATTTATTGACTTGCTTGAATCCCTAGCCTATTCTATGCTAGACACTGAGGGCATGAACTAGTCTATTGATTAATTCCATTTTAACTTTTCTGTATTTTTAGTGAAATGAACTTTTCTCTCTGGTCCAAAACATACTGCAGAAATAATCCAGTTTGAGACTCTTTTAACTGCCCTGGCTCAGTGCTAGGGAATCCTGGGAATTGTAGTT